GCGGCCTCCTTCTTCTTGACTTCCCGACGGGCGATCTGGAGCTTGGCGCCCGCGGGCTTGGCATCGTGCAGCTTCTTCCGCAGCTCGCCCAGCTCCGTCTGGAAGGATTCGATGACACCCTTGTAGATGCCACCCACATCGTCACGGCCCTTGAGCAGCTTGATCTCCGCCGCCAGCTTGTCGGCGCGCTTCCGCAGCGCGGCAGCACCTGCAGCTGGGGCCTCGGCTGCGGAGCCGTCGGTCTCCATGTCGCCGTCCTGCGAGGACTTGCTGCGCAGCTCCTGCTCCAGCGCCGCGATCTTGTCCTCGTAGAACTTCTTGTACTTCGCCTCGGCTCGACTGTCGGCCACGCTGGGCGCGCGCGTCGAGGGGGCACCTCCACCTGCAGGGCGGTTGCTGCCGAAGCAGGCGCCCTTGTGCAGCCTGCATGTTGTACACCACAACGACGAGCCAGGGTTCCACCAGCGCTCGCCCTTCGCATTCTTGCAGCCGTCCTTGCAGCAGAACCAGTCGGGCTTGTCGCGCACGAAGCCGCCGCCGACCGGACCGCCATGTGGTGGCCTGCTCCCGCCATTGCTGCCCGCCGCCCAAGGGGCACGCCTGGCCGCCATCCTGCACAGCTCCCTAGCGCCGCCGCGGCAATCAAGTAGATTAAGCGGATGGCGCTCCCCCAGGAGCTCACAGGAAATCTGGAGGCTGGCCGCGGACTAGCGGTATCCTTTCTGCCTGGAAGCTTGCAGCCCCCCCAGTCAGACATCTTGAGCCAAAATGGCTACGGAGGAGGAGGAGGAGGAGGAGGAGGGAGAAGGGGGGGACGAGGAGGAGGACCAGCGTAAACCCAACATCCATCAACGATATTGCAATACACCCTCCAAGTTCCTTCTTCACAGGTCCCCGCACGAATCCATTTTCACTGAAGCAAGTGCCCCGTTGGAAGACAACCGTTTGAAATCTGGCACTGTGCCAGAACACCATTCTTGGGACATTAACGCCGCAAGTCGCTAGTACCGTTGCGTCTTGACGATCTTGCATCGTGCCAGAACGTCGTTCCTGGGAATTCAACACCGCGGATCAGCGTGACTGATGCGGTATGGCATTCCGACATATTGCCAACAAAAACACGTTTGGGACGTTTACCATGAGAAGCTTCAAAAATTGCTGCAAAGTTTGAGACGAATATGTGCGGCGCTGAGGCAAGCGCCACATGTTGAAAAGGAAGCGCCCTCACTCCATGAATATTTCGCAAGTCTGTACGACGAATGCGGCGGCGCTCAGGCGAGAGCCACAGTTTAAAAACGGACCGACCCCCATCCTTGAAGCTTCTGCGAACTTTCATAGCGAATGTGCGCGTCGCTAGGGCGAGAACCATGTTTTGAACATGGGCCGCCCTGCATCCGTGAAACTTCTGCATAGTCTAAGCTTCAGGATCACAAGTGGTGAGGAAGTCTCATGGGAAACGCCCGGCCCGCCCTTTCGACTGGCCTCGGGGCACGATGGGGAGGAGTTATTCGTAAGGAAAAGGAATGAAGGAGGAGGAGGGGGAGGGGGAGGAGGAGGAGCAAGAGGAGCAAGAGGAGTAGGAGGATTGAGGTGCATTGCTAATGCACTTGCGGGTATGCATAGCCCTGTGGAGGTGCTCTTGAAGGTTGGAATGACAACCTTCTGGTCCCAGAGCCTGTGCAGGGGCTGTTGTGGGAACCTGGTGTTGGTGGATGGCATGTGTGATCAGCTACCCCGAGACAGCCACCTCTGTTCGACACATTTCGATTTGGCGGGGGGTGCGGGGCTGTGCAATAACATGCCCCGTTCCTGTTGTTACTTCTGATGGGCTGTGAAATAACGTGCCCCCCTCCCCCGAAGTGGGGTACAGATCTCCGACTCGCATTCCCGAGGTGTTTATAAGCACTTGAAACCCCGCTGCCTCGCCTCAGCTGCAACGCGCGAGGCTGGCCACCAGCGGGCCTGGACAATTTCTGAACACACCGCCCCCCCCCGGGCGCAAATGTTCGGCTATCGTCCGAGGCCACCCCGCGTTCCCCCCAAGCAGTGAGCCCTTGCTCGGGGCCACGCTGGCTGGCGGTCGTGGGCGGCCGGTGATCTCAGAAGGCCGCTTGGGGCCCAGAGACACCGAGGGCTGGCCAAGCGTGGAGGGGTGTGCAGGACCGCCGGTAGTGCCGCTGGGCTGCACGGGTCCTGCGGGACAGAAGCTCCTCCTCTTCCTCCTCCTCCTCCTCCTCCTCCTCCTCCTCCTCCTCCTCCTCCGCCTCCTCCGCCTCCGCCTCCGCCGCCTCCGCCTCCGCCTCCGCCTCCGCCTCCGCCTCCGCCTCCGCCTCCGCCTCCTCCTCCTCCTCCTCCTCCTCCAACGTCGCTGCCGGGCTGTGCCC